TTTCCTAGGTTGTACGTGAGCCCGAGGATGCCTCACTGCTCAGACTTAGGGGGGTCCCGCTGTGTCTTGCTCAGGTCTGGGGGGTCCCGCTGTGTCCTGCTCAGGTTTGGGGGGTCCCGCTGTGTCCCTGCTCAGGTTTGGGGGGTCCCGCTGTGTCCTGCTCAGGTTTGGGGTGTCCCGCTGTGTCCTGCTCAGGTTTAGGGGGTTCCTGCTCAGGTTTGGGGGGATCCCACTGGGCCGGGCAGCATTTTCTGAGTGCACTGCAGTCCTGCCCAATGTGCAGAGAGAAGCAAGTAGAGCTGCATCTCACCAGCAGGCCCGCGGCAGCTTCAAGAAGGCCTTCGGGGACCAGGACGGCCCCTGCCCTGCGTCCTGCCCACGGGCACCCGGATGGTGGCACGTGGCTCCGTGTGAACAGAGGGGCTGGCGCTGAGAAAACAGAGGTGGTTGTTGAGTGACTGAGTGACCACAGCAGCCAGACGCCAGCCCTGGCCGCACAGACAGGGACAGACGGCCACGCTCCCCGGCCCCCGGTCCCCCGACAGCGGAGGACCCCTCGTGAACTGCTTTTCAAGTGTCACCCCTTCAGGCTCGCAGCCTGTGAGTCACGGGGGAAACCCAGAGGTTTCGCAAGAGTCTGGCCTTCGTTTCCAGTCAGTGAGCGGTCCTTCCCGTGACGGCCCGAGTCACAGCGGGGCCTCCACCTCTGCAGGCGGGGAAACTGCGGCACCGGCCGCCTGGTCCTGCAGGCCTTGCCCACTGACCTCACGAGGGACCCACCTTCCGATTCTGGCTGATGCGGGGCATCGCCTCGGGCGCCTCTGCTTGTGAATATCTCCTGCCACAAGTGGACGGGGAGCCCCAACCTCAGGGGTGGACGGGGGACCCCGACCTCGGGCGGGACAGTGAACCCCAACCTTAGGGGTGCACGGGGGGCCCCGACCTCAGAAGTGGATAGTGAGCCCCGACCTCAGGGGGGATGGGGCCCTGGGCCACATCGGGAAGGAGAGCAGTCACCGTCGGTGGTGACAGTGGGGTTTCCTCTCCAACTGGCAGGGGCTGCCCGAGGAGGAAGGGGTCAGCGCCCCCCGCCCCAGCACCTAGGGGAGAACCTGGCACCCGCCAGGCACTCGGGCGCTTTGAGGAGTGGTGCACCAGGGTCACCACTGAGAGGTTTTGGGGCCCTGGGGGGGGGGCGGTCTCGATGTAACAAGGTCCCCATGTGGGGACGCACAGGACTCTGAGGCCACTCACACCTGGAGGGACGCAGGGAGCTGCTGGGCACGGGGCAGGTTGTGCTGCGCAGGGGCTCCTGGGGGCCTGTGGGGAGAGCTCACTCCCGCCGAGCCCCCCACCGACCTCAGCGCCCCAGGGGCACACGGGGCTCAAAGGGTGGTCCCCAACCCGCCCGGCCGATGGGCTCTGAGGAACCGCGCACAGCGCACTCTTCTTTTTGAAGATGAACTTGTCCTCCCAGCCCGCCTGGGAGCGGGAGGTCAGGGTTCGATTCCCGTCAGGGCACAGGCCCGGGCTGCAGGCTCGACCCCCAGCGTGGGGCGTGCAGGAGGCAGTTGGGGGGGACAGTGAACCCCAACCTCAGGGGTGGATGGGGAGCCCCGACCTCAGGGGTGCACAGGAGTCCCTCGACCTCAGGGGGGGGATGGGGCCCTGGGCCACATCGGGAAGGAGAGCAGTCACCGTCAGTGGTGACGGTGGGGTTTCCTCGCCATCTGGCAGGGGCTGCCCGAGGAGGACGGGGTCAGCGCCCCCCGCCCCAGCACCTAGGGGAGAACCTGGCACCCGGCAGGCACTCGGGCGCTTTGAGGAGTGGGTGCACCAGGGTCACCACTGAGAGGTTTCGGGGCCCTGGGGGGGGGGTCTCGCCCCCTCCCGGGTCCCCATGTGGGGACGCACAGGACTCTGGGGCCACTCACACCTGGAGGGACGCAGGGAGCCGCCAGGCACGGGGCAGGTTGTGGGGAGAGCGCACTCCTGCCCGAGCCCCCCACCGACCTCAGCACCCCAGGGGCACACGGGGCTCAAAGGGTGGTCCCCAACCCGCCCGGCCGATGGGCTCTGAGGAACCGCGCACAGCGCACTCTTCTTTTTGAAGATGAACTTGTCCTCCCAGCCCGCCTGGGAGCGGGAGGTCAGGGTTCGATTCCCGTCAGGGCACAGGCCCGGGCTGCAGGCTCGACCCCCAGCGTGGGGCGTGCAGGAGGCAGCCGGTCGATGTTTCTCTCATCACTGATGTTTCTATCGCTCTCCCTCTCCCTCTTTCTCTAAAAATTAATTCAAACGCATATTTAAAGAAGAATATTCTCTTAGCAACATCTCCCCATGAGTAAAGATTTTAAGAGGAAAAAGATAGTTTAAAGAACGCTTACAGCATAATAGCCACACTGGGATCCCTGCTCATGTCGCGTGCCAACTGTGAAAGGAAATGTTTGCGTCTACAAATGGTGACTCCCACCTTTCACTGGTGTGGGCACACAGGTGTGCTTGGTGACACGCTAGGATGGGCACCACAAGCCAAGGGGACTGGGGCAGGATGGAGCAGGCAGGGGCAGGAGGGAGCGGGCAGGGGCAGGATAGAGCAGGCAGGGGCAGGAGGGAGCAGGCAGGGGCCAGGGGGAGCGGGCAGGGGCAGGAGGGAGCAGGCAGGGGCAGGGGGGAGCGGGCAGGGGTCTGGATCACACCTCTTCGGCATTCAGAGGCCCCTGACTTCGCAGTTGTGACTGGAAGGACCCTCGGGGGTCAGCAAAGTCCTCCCTCACAGACTCACACACGGGGCTCCAGCCCCTGCAGGAGGGGCTGCCCAGGTGTGGTCTCCAGGAGACACCTCACCCGGCTGCGCCCCACACAGACCTCAGGAGCCCTGGCATTTTCCAACCATTTATTCATCTCGCAGAAACGGACACACAGGTGCCACAGCATGGGCCCGGGTGGAACAACGAAGCGATGATAAATACATTCGCTGCAGGCACAGCATCCGCGCCCCGCGGCGCCCTCACGGTGGGTTTGTCCGATAAGCCGCGACACTGCAGGCTGCGTGGAG